TCGAGCTTCTCAGCTTGGGGGGAACTAAACCCGCTTTGAACTGGGAGGGTTTACAGCCCGTTGGAGAAGCGCGACGGAAATATGATACCGACTCGCGGTGAGCATTCAACATCCATTCATACGACAAGTATGACGATGCTCACATACGACGCAGGTCCTTCGTGCTCTCATTGGCTCCCAAAGGCTGCAAGGCTGGCAAGAAACCGTTGGTGTCATATCCACCGAAAGCCAATCGTGGTCTCGCAAGCGGGGATCCCTCCCTAACTCATTCGACTGGGATGCTCCTACCTTCAAAGCTACCAACCATACTGATACAGGTCAGTGGCCTTCAGTTATTGTCCGTGGACATGCCTTGCAGCTCCGACCGATCCTGGAACGCAATATTATCAGCTGTAAAAGTTCACGAGCTACAGACCACCAGCCGATTACGATATCAATGATTATTAGACTAGCCGCAAAGCGCAGGTGAGCTCGCTAACCCTCGAAATCAGTCAGAATCACTCTTCGCTGAGGCCTCGAAGTCTAGAGCCACATAGTGTGCTAGCCCCGCAGGTTCAGCGTAAACTGCAGCACAGCATTCCGTGAGAAAGCACGCAGCGGTCCGCAGAGCGAGGCAGGGACCGTGAATGCTACAAGTGCCCAGTAAACACCGTATGCGCAGTGGTTGAAGACTTTACTGAGCTGCATATCCGAGTTCTCACTTCTATCACAGTTGGCGTGCTTCGAACGCTCGCTGGGATGAGGAGAAAATGCTTCTCTTCAGGGTACCTCTCAGTGGAGTCGCTTCACTTCGAACTTGGGCGAACGTATTCATTGACCTCGATGCCATTTGCAAGAGGTATTTCCATGATAAGGAGAGTTATGAAGCTTTGGAGAGCATATCCCTCTCTGGCTCGTGTCTGGTGAGATCGTCAACTTATGACCTTTTTCAAATTCATCTCGGATCAGCCGTCGCGTGGATTCGAAAGCTTCGATATTCAACCTCTATACCCATCATCTTTTATTAGGAAGAGGCGATCAATTATCATTGATATCAATCATCCAATTCAATTATTATTATCAACTAAATATTCGAGTGAATAGATACGGAAGATTATCATGTGCGAGTGCCCATGCCCATACGACGTGGCGTCAAGTGACTATCAAGTGGACCTTCCACAGAACCTCGCTTTCCATTCAGGTGGTCGGCTGAAATATAACGCTGAACACACGTAGACATTTCAGTTACACCGACCACAACATTGTTGTTCAACTTAAGTCCTTCCATGAAGGGTAATGAACGAGGTGTAACGAGACTGGAGCATGATAAGCCTCTGGCGTTGCGGCGTGCAGAGCGTCGATCAGATGTGTCACTTTGTATAAAGGGAGGGGTTGCTGCTAGAGCTAGGACACGGTGTGGGAAAGTTGCAGTTGCAGAACAGCTAGCACGGTGCCAGTCATTGAGGTCTTCTGAGCTCAGGCAAGCATCAAGAAAGATAACAGTCAGTCGGAGGGAGAATACTAATTTTGCTGGCAACGTGAGCGATGTGGTTGATAAGCAATGTATTCCATTGAGGGAGGAAATCACAACAAAGCCAGTACAGACGCAGACTCAGGAGTACGTGGCTCACGAGTCAAGCCCGATAGTCGCGTCTGGCGATATCCCTACGAGTCCACTCGCAAGTTCAGAAGGCACAACAACTGAGTTGTCGCATAAGGAGCAGCACGACGCTAGTACTTCAACATTCACAAATGAACTATTGGATGATAATCAGGGTTCGGGACATGCGATGGTTGATCGACTCACTGTGTCACCCTCACCGACGGAAGGTACGTCTACCAGTAGAGAGAGCCTGGTTGGCTTGCAAGAGACGGGCCTAGGCCGGACCAGGTTGTACACAGAGTGTCAGGACGCCGACTCATTGAAGGACGCTAATTCTGAAGAGTCTGAATCAATCGAGGGATCTGCTGAGGATCCACATCTTGAGGATTTGCCAGACGATTTGGAGCATATAGTAGATAACGGTGCGTTACCGCTGCTGCTCCACCCACAAAATGAATCGATGGATAACGAAAATGCTTTGAGCCACTGTGATGGTGAACCGGGAACATCCCAGATGCAGCTTGCATCTTCACGATGCATCACGCAAGGAGATTGCGATCTAGTTCTGGATGTTTCGGGCGATAAGGTATCCACCGAAGGCCCTCCGACAGGGCCTCCGACAGGTCCTCCACCAGTTCTCACAGCGTCAGCGATACGTTCTTCCCAAGGATCATTATTGTGGAAGGCTCAAGTCCTAGAGCCAGTACATCTAATATCTTCACGAAGCGGTGCCCACGTCGAGATACTCGAGGATATAGACAGACTTTTCGACGCCTTGTATAGAGACATGCGTGTTGTAAATTCTATTGCGAAGATCTGATGAGACGATTTGCGATGAGTATTGCTGGAAATTTCTTTGATCACATGGGCTGGAGTAGGGTCTAGACACCATACGTCTGATGTCCATGATTCATGTGCATCGATAATGTTGAGTATTAGTGAGTGAGAGTTTCTTACGATATCCTAGTTTACCTAGTCTATGCCAATGACTGAGCTGCAACACGGAAATCTAGTCATCAACTGGTTCTGACCTTATCAAGTGAGATATCGCATTCAATGTGGACAGAATCCCTATACTTTATTTCATCAGAAGAAGTTCATCTTGTGGTGCGACGTCCTCGAGTAGAAAAAATGTGACGCGCGCTCTATCAGCCCAATATCACGGTGTCCCCTCCTCCGTAGGCGGAAGCTTACGCCGTCTACTCTCTAGCAGCGCAATATTACACAGGGGATTCTCCACAAGCTCGGATCAAGGGCTTTGATCAAAGACTAGTAACTCTTCGTGCTTTTTAATTGCATTCGCGATTCGGCATCGCCGCGTGATTCCGTAGAAGTCTTCTTTATGGCGCTCCGCGTCCCACTCAGCGGCGCGTGGCGCCGTGGCGCCCAAAATCCGAGACACATGGTCAAAATCCAAGGATGCTCACCAAGACCTAAGGCGGGTAACCGAAATTTAAGGACTCGGGCCGAAATTCGAAGCAAGCGGCGATTTGGGGCAAAGGCGATTTGTCAAGGGACTCCGTGGCGCGGTTTGTTTTTCCGAGCTCTTTGTTTGTTCTCCCTCCCGTTTTTCTTCAAGCTTACAGCCTGGATTGTACCTTATTTCGACTACTTCACTGTGTGCCGCTTTCACCTGATGTTTCTTCGAATATCCCCAATATCGTAGAAAAAGTAGGAACCCGCTGGCCGAAACGCACAATGGGCAAAAGTCTCACCCGCTTCGTTCTGTCTCTGAAGACAACCGCCTTGGATTTTGTACTTTGCTCCAACGCTCGGGTCGATTGTCTCCTTAGGTAGCAGCAGTGGCTAAAAATGTTCCCCAATGTCATTCATCTCGCGTCGCTCGCCGTTCTCGCCTATTCCGAGAGATCCACTCTAATTTCCATCAAGCACGGAGCTGACTATGTCGATGTTCGTCATCTGCCCGAAATGCTGAGGGATGCCGGTCTCACACCCGACCCAAAGATCGTCACTTTCCTGGATACCACTGAGATCACCAGTCTTGAGTACGTCCATACTCAAGTGGTCAAGACTTCAGCTTCCAGCATCGATAGCGGTGCTCTCTGCAGCTTCGTGACTTCAGCCAGCCGCAATCTAGCTCTGCGTTCCGAATGCGCTATTGATCAATATGCCGAAATCTTCAGTATACCAGACAGCGACGAATACGACAAGGACCTTCATGTGAACGACCGCGATGCTCGCTTCCAAAGCCATCTGAAGTGGATGAAAATGGGCGAAGTATGGCAGCTCCTTCTCCCTCATGTCCAACGGGCTGTCAAGGTCGCCGTTATCGATTTTGGCATTGACTGGACCGATCCAGATTTCGCCCCCTTGAAGGCCACTCTAAAGAAGAGGAGCGGCGGCGTTGTGGACGGGGGATGGAACTTCGTCACTGACTCGTCTGTTTTGACGGACCCTATTGAACATGGGACCCACATCTGCAGAGTCCTTGCCGCCAAGAGCAACAATTCCGTCGGTTTGGCAGGGGTCGCCCCTAATGTAACATTGGTGCCACTACAAATAGCAATCAAGAGAAGGCTCGACCTTTCTAGGGTGCTGGAAGCTATAGACATGGCAATCGATCTGGAGGTTGACATCGTGTCCATGTCGTTCGGATTTTCTCTCGATGACCTAACTCAGGAATCAAGATATCTGTTAATGAACGCCCTCTACTTTCTAGAAGAGAATGATATAATATTCGTATCTGCAGCTGGGAATGCTGGTATCGACGCCAGTGAAATTTTTCCTTGTTCGTACGGTGGCCCATTCGGTATCTGCGTAGCCTTTCTGGATGATGACAAGAAGCGGAATGTTCTCCACGAGTATTCAAATTGGGGGGATAGGGTTGACGTTGCTGCTTATGGGACGAGAACCCTCGTCGGTCGTTACGCAAATGGTGCCCTGCAGAGATCCAGCGGCTCATCAGTGGCAGCTCCGCTCGTTGCTGGCCTCGCTGCTATCCTTCTTTCGATGAGCATGGAGCCGATCATGGTAAAGCGTTTGATACTGTTGGGAGTGGAACCGGTCAAGAGTGACACATCTCAAACTCTACGAGTCGGAGGTGGTGCCATAAACCCTCTTCGCACCGTACAGGAAGCCATTCGGAGGTTTATATAACCTCATGGCGACTCCGCGTTCGTAAGCACTTCAAGACAATTATCAGTCTTCAGATCCTTCTGTGATTGGTCGGTCTTGACTGGTGTCTTGTGGACCTATAATACAGGCCTACATTCGTCTATCGCTGTCTATACTGTAGTCGGTGTATATACGTACAACATTGATGGCCCTGGGCTCGGAATGAGTTATCATTTTCATTCTTCATATCTTTTTCTCCATTCTCCATTCGATAGGAGTGATTTTCTATGAACCACTAGTCGAGTTATCATCTTGACGGCGATCCGTTGAGTGCGTGGCTGATGAAAGCGTTTCGGCTCTGGTCACCGATCAACATCATTTGCTTCCCCACCCAGATTAAAATATAATGTTATCTCTCGCATGTATCGTAACAGTCTCTCCTGGCCAGGCATGAACTGTCGATCGATGCAAACACAGAAGAAAGAATGCGCATCGCGAGCATCTTTTCTCAACTGCGAGAAATAGTGAAGTTGGTCTTTCGGGGAAGATCCGTTCGGAAAGCAGGTTTAAAACAGATACTTATCAAGGAAAACAAGATATGGCTGTAGTAGTTCAGCTTTCCAATCCACCGGAGGGTGTTTCTCGTACGAGCATTATTCAACTTCGTTTGCAAAGTTATAATTACTGTCAGCTGCTACAGTGTTTGTAATGATAGCTGCGATGTGTGGTTCTTAATCGATTGCCCCACGTTGATCATTAGTTCTGTGTTCAGTACCGGGATGAAGAGCTAAATTGAAAATCGAGAAGTATTCACATTATGGTATATACTCAACGCTAGTGACAAAAAGAAAATACTTTTCTGCGATATAAAAATGATCACAAGGTTACTCAGATTTCACAGCTTCTGTAACTTCTCTGATATCTACTTTCACCACTCGATAATGCGCCCCAGGGGGGCGGTAGATCTCAGACCTGAGCAACCACGATAATGGGGTATCTAGATAGCGGAATACCTGGACTCCTCTCTTCGCGGTTCAGAAGCTGTATCGATATGTTTCCGTCTGGAATGCGATCTATGCGCACTCTTGCGTACCGCTTTAATAGCTTCCGATGAGCCCGAAGACCCCTGAGAGATGATAAATCGGAATATGTACATTTCACCAAGATCTGACCAGTGTGGGCGAGATATGTATATGGACAACTACATGTGTTGTTAACAATATGGAATTCCGAGAAAAATCAGGGGATTTGTACACGTCTACACAAATTCGTATGTAAACTCCTGTTACTAGTAAGGAAAATTCCTGAACCTAGCTGAAAAAAGCGGACGTATACTCCAACACTGGCTCTGACAACATTTGACAGGAATAGTGAATTTAAGTTTACCTTCCTTTCGTGCGAGATGCTACTTGGTGGCCCTCCTAGGTTGCGCAACTTTAAAGATCTCACGCACTGACGAGAGACCTCAGGAATGTTGTATTGTAACTAAGAGGCAATGTCCATATATTCCCTATTGCAACCTCTCGCTCACCGGTCCGATATTCACAAAGCGTCGTTTACTGGGTTCAGGTAAGTCGCATAAGACTCTCGGGATGTGGTTTGTACGCACATCCGCGAACACATGCAGAGCTTCCTGTTTTATGTGAACCTGTTCTCAGTTTACACACAGACACTTCTCTTTCCTAAACTCACATGACATTCAGAATTGTCCTCATCTAGTGATACCGTAACCAGCGAATCGAGAGGAATCTGTCATGGAGAAAACGTACTCCGATTTTCCGCGAAATATTCGTGACTTACTCCAACTACTGTCCAATCAGCGACATCTTTATCGAGTCCTTCAACACTAACCAGAAGACCTCCCTTCTCAGCGTGTATGAGAACACCCGCACCATAGCCCATAGTGTACATAAAAGTCAAATGCAGCTCCTACGCACGGGTCTATCACAATCATCGGTTACCCCAGGTCCGCGTCAAAATTAGAAGGCATCGCGCTGCGACCCTGGATATGCAAGCTGTGAGTATGGCAACAATCTGTGAAGTGATCAATGGTCCTGTTTCCCAGTAGTCGTGGTAGTAGTGGATTCTCTTGTAGTAGCCGATGTCTGAAAGTCGACTCTCTTCCTCGCGATTGTGATATCCGCGAACTCACCGTCTTCTGGGCAACTCTATTGCCACCAGCGACTTGAGTAACAGTTCAGATTCCAAATGGGGCAGTTCGTATTGGCTTCCAGGGGGCGTTGCCACGTATCTGATGCCATTCAGCAACCGAGGAAACTGTTGCTCACTTACTGTTGCCATATACCATATTGGATTCTATCAGGTAGAGAGTCGTACCTGGCAATTCATCAACGACTCACTTCACAAAAAAGTAAAAGAACTTCACGACAGAAATTCATCTCAATGTCCTACCAATGTAATCGTAAAAACACACAGACAGAGAATTTTGAATCAGCTCAGAGCGACTAAAGAGAATCATATATTCTCAAATTTTAGTGACCGCCGACGTAAGAGTCTCGAAATGTGCCACAATTCTTGTCAAAGAAGTGTAAAGATTACTCCTATGAGACGTATTAGTGACCACAAACTGATCAGGTATAACTTTCGTGGATATTCGATCCAGTGTTGGAATGGGAGTATGAGTTCGCTCCCCTCAGCTTAGTTCACTAATCATATGAGTTTATATACGAACTCCATTAGAAGTGTACAGAAACCAGGAAAATTTTCCCAAAATTTTCTCAGAATTTTCATCCTATCACCAACACATGTGGTTGACCATGTGCAAACTTCACCACACTGATTCGAATGCAGTAAACTAATGCACATCATCGCTGCAGAGACCGAAAGCCTACATGGCTCTAGCGCTCGGACTCAGCGTCTCAAACAAACTTCGATGGAGCATGGTACTTGGCTTCACACCAGTAGAGGCATTCATCAACAACCTATGTTCTTGTGCGTGCATCGATCGTATCTACGGTAGACTTCTCAAGACGGCAGACCCGGTCGATTCTCAACCTCTTCTTCAAGTTCTTTCAACTCGTCGAGAGCGTCTGTGACTGACTCTGGAATAAGAACCTCCAATGTGACAGATAGCGTGGAGGGTAAGGACCATGCGGAATCTTACCACACCGTAGTCCATTCCTTGCTGACATCTCTTCAAAATCACATCACATACTAAGTTGATCAGATCGCGCAAGCTCATATTCCGGGCTCGAATTTCCTCAGAAATCAAAAACTAAAATAGAAAAAACGCATCTCTCTGTTGGTTCATCATGCTTGAGCGCCTTTCATGGTGAAATATACGAGTTTACAAGCTTACATACGACTTGGGGTAGAAGTCTACCGATAATAATTTGCCAAAATTCCCTCATAATTTTCGTATTGTCACATGTAGCCGATCTTGTGCATATTCCCACATTTTGGGTCTACTCATAGTATGCTAGACAGTCATTATTGGTGACCTCGCGTACGCGGCTACCCAAAAACAGGGCAAACCAAACTGTTCATAGGAATCGTCATATTCTTATCGATCCCATTGTCATGATGCTGATCATTTTGCAAGTCAGTCGCAACACTGTCAAAGTTGAATTCACCGATTTCAGGGTTACAATCTTCATTGATCGTCACCTTACCAAGTTCGGATGAGCATGCAGTGCGCATTCAGCGGCAATATGGCTCATTGAGCGTCCACATATACGAATAAAGTACCTGAGACAAAGCCAGCAAAAGCTCCCTTTTCTCTGAAGACAATACTTACCACTCGCGAGTTCCGCTCGCTGCAAGCGTTGCAATATTGCCAATGATATTAGAAAACACTTTACATGCAGTGTCGTAACCCAGGGTCTGTTCTACCAGAGGTATGTCATTTTCAACAGACGCTGGCACCTGGTGAAAGAAAATCTGAATGCCGTTTTCCCGAACCGTACTTACTCCAATGACTTTAGTTGAGACTTGCATTTTTGCCATCGTCTCTGCGAGTAGGGCAGAATCAGCATGAGTGCCGACACCGCCAACCACCACGACACCGTCTAGAGACAGTTTCTGGCAAGTACCTCGAGAAAAACAAAACTACGATATGCATGGCGATGATGATGATGAAACCATACGTGCGCACGCGATGAGATCTTCGGTAGTTCTTAAAGTGAGATCAGTTCTTCCCAGGAGGTCTAGTCCTGATTGGTTACGATACAGCGAAAGCAACTGATCCGAGTCCAAATTCACAGTATACCCTTTCACCTGACAACAGTGATTCTGAAGATCGGCCTGATCAGATGAGGTTGATGGTCAATTACGAATCCCAAAGCCCCTAGGGCGATGCCAATGAGTTGACCTCCAGGCTGAGCATCCACATACGACTTGAGCCCCCAAACTATGTTGTGGCATCCAGGTGACTGACGACCCAAGAATACGATACCGATACGTAAAGTAGTGGTGTGGAATCTATAAACGAGTCCACCATGGGCTTGCACTCGTGTAGGGACTCTTACAAACTGAATAAGCTGTGTTTCCTCATCATACTCGAGCCGCCTTCCGCCTCAGTAGTCAATGATTCCGATCGGTCTGAGACGAACTACAGAGTAACGAACATGCTCAACTGTTCATGAATACAACGGGAAAATTTTTGTAAATTTTCTCACATCTCGAATTTTGTGTAAATTTTCATAATGTAGCCTGGGAAACTCCTGAGCTCCGCTGAGAAAACAAACATATTCCAAAACTGCTCTATACAAATTCAGCGTTCGAGTTCTAATACCAAGTCAACCGCGACGAGCTTACCTTCATCGCCTTCGTTTTGCTCTTCCTTCACAGATGTGATTATTTTTTCAGTAGGGAATGTGACATCCAAATCTGCCACCGCGACAGTTTGAGAGCGAATCTGGAAAATTATTAAAACAGTTTCTCAACAACACATCGTCACCTTTCTGCTTTGCGAGAAATGCGGTGATGAATGACCATTCCCTGCCGCGGCGAACTCCCCTGGCACTTCCCCTCCTCGCTGAGCGCCGATGCTCACCGCCGACACATCGCACCTTAAAAAAGGGTAACGAACAAAACGGAAGCTACTACACTTACGTATGAGGGAAAGCCAACCTAAGTAGTGATATGGAGGCCCGTCTCGGTGTTGATTCTTGGTGACGATCGGTGACAACACAGAAACCGCTTGTGAGCGATCTTGGCAGGAGGGGTTTGTATCTTGTCGAGTGAAAAAATTAAGTCAAGTCGGATACATTAGAGTTTCACCCTAGTGATATGAAAAACACGAGAAACATATTTCACGACTATTGCAAGGCGCAGATATTGCGTTTTACGCCACTCCACGTAAAACGGGTGAAACTCCATTGTTTGGCGCACTCACAAATTCGAGACTAGAATGACAGATAAAATTGTGAGCGACAACTTCACCGGCGTAACAGGATCATTCTCGTCAATGAGTATCACTATGGAACTACTGTCGCGATCATATAGAGCAAAGAAAACCGCGATGTAAAGTAATGCACCCTAGTGATATGAAGAACACTAGTGAAAAACACATTTCACGACTACTGCATATCACCGCGAATATCGCGTTTTTCACCGAGTTTTACTACGCCACTTCACGTAAAACGGGTCGTGAAACTCCAACGTACACCCAAGCAAGTTGTCTAGTCTACTCCAGAATTGTCAAAAACTAATTAGCAACTAATATTCTGATCTATTCCACGATGAATGGCGTTGATTCTTCATTCCGAACAATGTTAAGAAATACATATGGTCACTCACATATGTCGGTGACAATATGAAAATTCTGAGGAAATTTTGCGAATTTCTTTCCGGTTCCTGTACACTTCTACCCGAATTGAGAAAACTCCTAAACTCAGGCGAGGAAAGCGAGCATATATTCCAACACTGACACGAAGACTTTACCCGAGCCTCTCTTCCTGTAGTGGGGACAACCCACCGTATCTCCACGGTAGTGATATTATACCAGTTCGTGTACCTGTGGCCACCTGCGTTAGCTCGGAAACTTCAAAATGAAGAAATCACGTTTTGTTGTCCAATAAATGCTGTTGCCAACGTGAGAGAAAATATGCACGTAGTCATGACAGTATCAAAATTCTGAGAAAATTTTCGGAAATTTTTCTGTATACTTTCATCCGAATTCCCATGTGAGTTTCTATGCTTATGTTCAAGCACTTAAAACTCCTGAACGATAATGAACAATAACGCTCGAGTGTGAGCCGGGCAGTAGATTCACCTGCGAGAAGGCCACTGCGAGAAGTTATGTGAAAGAATGTTTTCCGTGTTGGCGTTCCCGGGGGTACACAGGGCAATGCTTCTAGTCTTGTAATTATATCTAAAATCCACATGATACTTTCTGAGGATAGCAAGATTCGTTTCAAGTGTCTCAGTCGACTCGGATGAGCGAAAACGATGAAAAATGTCAAGGCCAAAATACTTCTAATTACAAATTTTTCACAGATTCATTTCCGATTTATAAGGAACCTACACACCCGCGATGGACCTGTTGCTGCTATCAAACCACACAGTGAAATTCAACAAGTACCGATCTCATTCACACACGTTACATGTCCACTAACACATAAGTTGGAATGCAAATCGTTGCTCAATCAATGCGAGACTGCTTCGGGACAGTCAGGGGCCTTTCCCGTGAGTAGCGAGATTATCTAACTACCCCAATTACACATTGAAGTTTTACCCGTTTTACGTGAAGTGGTATAAAATTTGGTGAAAAACGCGAAATTCACGGTATGCAGTAGTCGTGGAAAATATTTTTCATTAGTGTTTTTCATATCACTAGGGTGGTGAAACTCCAGTGTTGGAATAAAAGTTCGCTTTCCTCAACTGAGTGCTGAAGTTTCCTCACTAATTATCAAAGTTAACTAACAAATTCGAGTACAAGTTCATAAAAATCAACGAAAATTTCCTCCCCAGAGTTTCCACAAATGTCACCATGTGTCTGTTTTCCCACACCGCATTGTAAATACGTAATTATTCATATTTTCTTTAACTAGTTCATAACAGAGATCTCTTTACCCCTCCACGCATTGTAACCATCGTAGCGTGCGGAATTACAAAGCCGACAAATTTTTTTCTTCTTACCCTCAGGTGGTATATAAGCTGCTAATAAGGATATAGTCAAACTCTTCGACAACGGGCCCTCGAACTGATATGGTCCCGGCTGGCGGCTATGTGTAGCCATCCTGAGCAAGGAAGCATGGCCAGCTCCACACGATCAATATGCACATGTACATGTATTATGGAATTCCCGAGGAAATTTTAGAAATTTCTTGTTAGTTTGTGAACATTCGCGCCCGAACTTCCATAATTAGCGAGCAAACTCCCGAGATCAGCTGAGGAAACCAAAAACATATATTCCTCCAACACTGCAACTTACATGTCGCCAATTCTCAATCTGTTGTAGATGTTCATCACATGATCATCTCTAGTCTGAAAAAAATGCATACGTCCCTTCATAACCATCGAAAGTTGGAATTTCTCACAAGTAAGTGCATCACCGTTGTTCCACTTCGGTAACTAGAGTGTGCTCAGTCGTAAACACTGTGTACATGATCAACTACACGTGTTGGTGACAATATGAAAATTCCTGGAAAATTCTTCTTGGTTTCTGTCCACTCCTACCCTAATACGCGTGTAAATTTTGATAATGAGGAAACTTCTGAGCTCAGCTGAGGCAAGCGAACATGCATTACTCTAACATCGAAGTTTCACCCGTGATATGAGAAGCATATTTCACATTTCACTTCACGAAAAACGCAAAAGAGCAGTGAATAACGTGTAGCAAAACTCGCGATGTTTTTCACGTGATACGGAGTGATTTGTCCGGTGCCATTCGCAAGGTGCTTTCACTTCATTTCATATCGCGTTTTTCACATGGACGTAAAACTCCATTAAATCTCACACACGAGCCTTCGATAGCCGAGAAAGTAAATACCAAAACTTACACAAATCTCCCTTTTGGACACCAGCAGGACTTTAGCCTCTCTCTTCAGTTTCTGATTAGCCCGATAAACTGCTTCCTTGTTTTCAGCGATTGCCGGTATAGGGATCAATTCCGGATCTTTTTGCCTGACGAAAAATCCTCAAAAAAAGGAAAAAAAACTTTCCAACGAATCGATTGTTCTCTTCTGAAAACTTCAAATCGGATGAATTTATCCGCAAAATTTCCCGAAAAAAAAACCAAAGTTTGTGAGTAATCAAGTATTTCAACTGTAGGCTCCATTTCATCTATAGGAGATTCTTACTTTCGGAGGAGGGGAGCTAGCGGAATCCCGCCGATACCCCACTTAGAAGTGTCTTCGAGCAAATCTGTCACAACTGCCACGTAGCCGTTATACCTGATTTACGGTATGAAAACAAATAAGTTTAAAAAATAAAATGAAAATTTCATTTTTTCATTTTAGGTTTTTCACTGTGGGAAAATATTCACACTTGTGTTGGTGACAATATGAAAATCTTGAGAAAATTTTGGGAAATTCTTGTTAGTTTTTTTGAACATTTCTTCATTAACGAGAAAACTCCCAAGATTAGGTGAGGAAATAAAACAAACTGATTCTCTCCTCACCTTCCCCTCGGTGCTATTGCCAACGCTGCTGCAGCCTGGCCTAATGCCCATCCAAATTGGCAATCGAATTTGCTCGGAAGAGGGCACCGTGCTTCTTGGCCGAGATAGTGCACTCTCAAACACGGTGTGGGGAACTGAAAAATACCACAAATGATCCTATAGGATTACAATAGGAACACATTCCTGAGAAAATTCTTGTTGGTTTTTTCACATTTCTACCCGAAATCGTGCGTAAATTTTTCATTATTTTTGCGTTGTGAACTCCTGAGCTCAGCTGAGGGGATCAAAACGAATATTCCACCACTGAATAGCGATCCTACTCTACGAATAACAAAGTGTCGAATTTAAAATTCAAAAAACAATAATACAAATGACGCACTCTTAGTGAGAGTAAATATAATCATTTCCTCTCATGCCGCTCCACCGAAATAGTAGTGGTAACAACACAAGAAAGTCTACGTTAAAAACACCGTCACGATGAATATATGCGAAACATGCAACGCTTCGCTCCGCCTTCCCACTCACTTCCTCCTCCATATCTTGAATAGAATCCTCATCATAGCTCTCAGTGCCAGCTAGCGAGCTGCCTCCTTGTGAGCCCGGCCTGAAATTCCATCATCCACAATTTTTGCATATTTTTTTCTCACTCACCCAGAATTTCCGCCACATATATCTTTAGCTGCATTTCGTCTGTGAATACCCTCGTTCATAACACCTGTGCGGCATTTTCATGGTATTGATTATTAAAATCTCAAAAGTGGCTTACGTATATATTCCATCACGAGCATAGCAAGTAGCCTTTCTGGTTCGGTCCCCACCTCTATCGGCTTCCCTTCCTTATCGTAGGCCTACAATCATTATTCAACAATTTCCAATAATTATGGTAAGGGTCTACAAAATTCAAAATATTCACTACATGTGTTGTTGACAATACAGAAATTCTGAGGAATCCCCCTTGGTTTCTGTACACTTCTACCCTAGTTCGTATGTAAACTTCTATAATCAACGAGAGAACCTCCTGAGCTCAGCTGCTGAGGAAAGCGAACATATATTTTAACACGTCTTCACCAAGTTGTGGGAAAGCCACCAGCTGAGTGTCACGCATCAGGCATTTCAATAAAACACTCAAAGACGCGAATGCATGTACAGTATCCTAATTCTTACCTTCACGAGACGATCCTGGTCAGACCTTGGCAGCTGTACGAAGAGGTCCAAACACGGTGGAGATAAACTGATGACGACAACAAGAGTCGTATTATAATGGAGTTTTACCCGCTTTACGTGAAGTGGCGTAATACTCTGTGAAAAAAATCGATATTCGCGGTAAAAAGTAGTAGTCGTAAAATATATTTTTCACTTGTGTTTTCCATATATCGGGTGGAACTCCAATGATACCACTCCTACGACAATCTAACAAAAGGCTTACAGTCGGAGAGCATCCTCGATTGAGGGCGGCTTGTCGATATCCGAACAATTCTGTTGAAGTTGACGGCATTCACGCTGAAACAGGAAACTGATTAGTAGGTAGCCTTTCAAGGGCTTACCTCGAGTTCGGCGAAGTGCGGTAGGAAATCATAAAATCCATCAGATATGAGAATCTGAAGACCGTCACAATTCGAAATCTCTTCCTTAGCAGTTTGTCATCAGCTCACCGTGCCGCTTCGGAGTCGGTGCATTTGGTAACGTGTTATCATCAAATTGGCAACAGTCTTAACCAAACTTCTCAGAGTTTTCACGCGTCCATCGGGACCACACTGAGTCAAGTCCTCAGCTAGAATCGTATAAGTCGGCCGCACCTAGAAAACAAATGCAATGCAAAAAGCAACGCTTCTTGAAACATTCAATGTTGGGTTGATGGAGAAATGATAAACTACTCGTGTGGATGGTACACGACCATAAATTTACTTATTATCAGTGTTGGTATATATGTTCGCTTTCCACAGCTGAGCTCGGGAGTTTCTTCACCAATCAGAGGAGTTTATATACGGATTGGCGTATTTGTATACAGAAACTAAGAATATAGGATTTTACCGAAATTTCCTCAATTTTTTTTGTCACCAACCCACGTGGTCGGCCAACTGCATATTTTCCCACGCTGCTAATTACTCTAATGAAATGAGACCTTACAGAAATCTATTCGGCGGTTAACGTCAGCACTTGAGCGGGCAAAGAAATCATAATCACGACTAGGGGCATTAATTTAACGATAGATGAATCGATTTCTGAGATGTATAGAGGCCAACTCACTTGAAGGGCCACCTCCAGTGTCGCTGTACTCGAACCACACCGAATGAAATGATAATCGATATGCCTTCCAGATGAGAGACCATCCATTGCCAAGTTGCCAGCAAATTCACAGCTGACCTAAAAGACGGCTAATGAGTTATCCCGCTTTCACTCACTTGCTGTTACCGTCATCGCTGAATCGAAACCGAGAGTAATGGGCAGCCATTTGGGCACGTAGACCTACAAAGAGTTGCTTATAGTGTTAGAATATATATTTCACATTGCCAACTACATGTGTTGGTAGAAATATGGAAATTCTGAGGAAATTTTTGGGGAAATTGTCGTTGCTTTTTGTACACTTCTAACCAAAATCGTGTGTGGATTTCCTTCATGTAGTGAGGGAACTTACGAGCTCAGTTGAGAAAGCCATCATATATTCGCACACTGATATGAGATGAGCTCAGGAGCTTTCTCATTATGAAAAGCTACACATGATTATTGATAAAAGTGCACGAAAAATACGGCCAAAATTTTCTTATTGCCAGCAACTCGCATATTCACTGCATCTACACTCACGTTGCAATTGGGTGATTGGAATACCGAAATTATCGACACCCTCTCAGCCTCCGGGACCGATTCGAAATAACACACGAGCTGCGATACATGGGAAATCTGAGATAGGAATGCATCAACAAGTTCTGTACCCGTGACTGACTTCGGCTGGGCCGCCAGCAACGACGAGCCCATGCAGACCGTATTCGCGGCAAAGCGCATGTATCTCTTTGAAGTCGCCCTCATCCATGGCACGGAGGCTACCGTAACTGTGGATATGACGAAACGCACATCAGAATAAACCACGAGGTGAGATAGGATAATAAAATATATGGGCGTGTGGTGTAGTGGTATCACGTCTGCTTTGCATGCAGAAGGCCCCGGGTTCAAACCCCGGCACGTCCAAACTTCTACCCTTTGAACTTAACAATATTTTCATATCCACTCCTTACCGTAATAGATCTGATCCACCTTGATTAGCATAACTACTCAAGTTTGGCATCGCATTCAGCTCAAGGAAGTTCCCACTAGCGAACCCGCTCGGGCCGTCCATGAAGCCCAGCAGACGATACTTCTCTGAAATCACATCTCTCATCTCACAACCACTCATCTCAACATACTGAATCTTTGTTCAAGATGGTCGTTCACTCCCAAGACGACATTATGTATACCTGACGCGGGGCCCCATGCACCAGTGAGCATCACGCCAATGGTAATCTGGAAGGAACACAACTAAACTACTTCAACCATCTCGACAACTCACTTCTTCAGTGAAGTCTTGCGCAAGGCCAGTCTCCTCCACTGCGGGACGAAGCATAACCTAACACGACATCCTCCTTAACGAGGTGAGGGCAGATGAGCTCACTGGAGTGTCATGGGATCTCAGATGAGGCCAATCCTCGAAGACCTCAGGGTCCAGCTGTAGTTTGCTATCCTCGACCCGCTCGATCACATATCTCCTCGTTTTATCGCGGTTAACAACATCAGGCGTTGGAACAGCTGAGCGGTAATTGAGTAAATGTAAAGTGACGACCGACTCACGCCGCCGATTGCATAGTGATTCCATCAGACTTCGATGTTGGAAATTCCGTACCGCAAACGAAGTGCCTCTCGTGAAGCTAACACTGTCATCATACCACCTGCACAACAACAATATAGATAACAACGACAACCATTATTAGTTCAGGTCACTCACTTGAAAGGGTAGTGATACTCCTGTCGTGGTGGCCTGGTTTTAGTGCGAGTTTTGTGCGCTTTAGAAGAATGCGCCGGAGCACTTCCGGTCGGTGAACCCAATGGTATCGACGACTCCGACCTCTCAGTACGAACAGACAGTTTATGACGCCTCTCGAATTTCCTCGGCATATTCAAACGCGGCCCCATGGGGCTAGCCCCGGGGTGCCCTGTAGGTGCCGCCGTTTGCTCTGCTGATTCCCCAGTGGAGGTGCTCTCCTTGGCTTGGTCAGCACTCTGGGCACCACCGGCCGCGTCGGTGGTGTCGGCGGCGGCTTCATCCTCCATAACGAACAAAGCCCTACTATCACCACCACACATTGGGTCGCCCTATTTAACAACTATAAGCACCAACAGTCTTGTTAGAAACCTTAATACACTACTTGCCGAAAACAACAAGTGAATACACTTCTTTTCATGTCACCAACAATACCATACCGATTTGAACAGACAGCATAATCTCCAATCACCCCAAGCCGCCGCCGCCTAGACACTCACCCACTCCAAGATCTCCCTAAGAGAATCTTCTCCAAAAATGCAACCGCTACCAACGTCAAACCATCAACAGCGCTATTGTATAGCCGTTGCGGAATTACAATCAACTACCGGGCATGTTGATGACCATGAGGAGCTTTATGGATTCTCACTCGTTGGCTACAAGATGACTTACACTTGTATTTCAAGCCGTGTATAAAACTCCCAAGCTCAGCAGCTGAGGAAACTAAACATGAGTTTCCCATTCAATAAACCCAAAACTTGCCATATAGAGCCGTTTACGAGCTTCTCATTTTTTCTATATATATTCCACTCCAGTGTTCAGATGATCATATCCAATATTACACTTCTAAACAAGCACCAGTATATACTCCCCATAGACCGCTGCGATGATCTCCGTCCCTTCCTTCTCCCCTCAGGTCGTAATCGTCTTCATTACTAATCTGAGGGAATTCAGCTACACTCCCGCCTAGTAGAAGTCTGGCCAAAATCACCACAAAAAACATCGCTCCGCTCCGCTCAAAGAAACAAATTCGATCACTACTCATGTTTAACATATAAAGTATTACATATTCTTCTTTCCAGTAAAAAAGTAATCGGGAAACGTCGGAGGTGAACCGACGCCAACTTCTGCTGAATGCCCCGCATCAGGAGTTACGGATTGACAACAATAATTATATTCTGGTCACTCGCACAAAACGAAATTTCGGTGCTGCTTCATATCACGGGTGGAAATGCAATAAATTCAAACATAAATTTGCCTATTCTTATTTTTATTTTTCACGACATCATCTTTTCTCGCACCAGATGCTTCCGTCCATACTAAGTCCCCGAGACTCCTCACTGAGGAGTCCTCAGCATTCATATAATACTCACACACTGATCGTGCACTCCCATTACGTACGCCATAAAATAAAGTTGATCACACCACCAAGGTAGTACGAATATCACAACTATTTCCATCATTCCCTGTAGACGGACGAGTCACAGCCCAGGAAAGTAGCCGCAGACTCAGCGAAAGACCATGACCGATGTACACATTATATCGATCGATAATTACCAGCTATTCTGTCGAGGTTCCCCGCTCCCCATATATCAGTTCATACTGATCTGTCCACTTAGCCAATCGCTGGCCGCTAGTTCTCAACGACCTCCACAACATCTAGTATTACTTTCGACTGAGTATACAACATTGAAACCAAAATCACTTCGCATATAAACATTAACGAATATTTCGCGAAAGCCCATACCAAAAATTGTGACAAAATAATTTGAGTAAATTTGAGATTTCCCAAACGGTCTCATTATTCTCCACGTATTTTTTTGATAATCGTACCATAACTCTCTCCCTTTCAACAGTTCAGATGAACTGTCTTCAACCGTAATACAATTCCCGCCACGTCCACATTCATAATCACACATAGGATTTTCACTCGTACAACGCGAACTAGTATTTTTCGCCTCGCCGAATATGAAATGCCTTTTTCACATCGCGGGTGAAACTCACCTATCGATGATGTGTTCAATTAAGTCGACCAAAAACCAACACAAGAGAATCAGCCTTTGAGATTTGTTGGTCCCCCTCAACTCTTCACTACCTTCACTGGAATGCCGTTCGAGCCCACCACGACTCATCCTATTGTAATCGGATTGTCTGTTATGGTCATCAAAAAATGGAGTTCCACCCGTTTTACGTGAAGTGGCGTAATACTGTGTGAAAAACGCGATATTCAGTAGTCGTGCAATATACTTTCCACTAGTGTTTCTCATATCACGGGTGGAACTCCATTGTATAAACTGCATAAAGCGACCACTGCTACCAATTCGACATCAATTTGGTTACCCATGGTATAAAAGAACTCATGTGAAACACACGTCTCACATAATAAACAATAGAGGATCTGCCAGTTCGCACAGAGTCTACAAAATTTCAGTGCTTTCAGTACAGCCACATACACCCGAGTTATAGACTATAACTTATAGTGTACAATGTACATATATGATGCACAAAACAGAACATATATTCATTTTTAAATTTTCCAAAAACCATCTCTGAATACTATCGTCGCCTACGGATCAACGTCAACAACTTCTCACGAAAAAGTAAGATTTTTCACTCGGACGAGGAAAAACTTTTCCTGCTGACCCCATCACTACTACCACTGCTAAAATTTCGATTTTCCACTACAATTTCAATTAAACGTAATATATATCACTAACAGAAAAAATATAAATCACATATTTCATTTCTTTGCCGGTCAACATAACCTCATGCAAATAACATACCCATCCTCTGGCTTTCATTATCACCTCCTCGTTCTCCAACTCTGAAACCTAATGTACTTCGAAGATCATGATTGACAACGGGATATCGCACGATTGATTTAGCGCGCGCCCGAAAATGGACTTGGTGAATGGTGGTATAAATATCAACACATGGAGATAGGCAGCAGTCCTACTTACCACCCTGGTCAAAAGAGAAGCGCCGTACAGGGAGAATGGTCCACTTATCCTTCCTTGCTGAATCACACAGTATCTGATCAATCGCCACGAAATTACTTCTACCAGGTGGGCTGCAATCTCCCCTAGGAACCCCATAACTCCTTCCTAGAGTTGAGTTGAGTGTGGCCGAGCTGATACAACGTCAGTACACAGCGAAAGTAGTTCCACTTATAAGAAGCCGTGACCTGAACGAGGAAGACTTGCGTATTATACTGTTGTGGAATTTTACAGTGAGTCAAGTGAAAGGTCATGAGTTCTCACACGCTACGAAATTTCGAAATTTCCGAGGACCAGCTTATTCCGCCAGCACTATGCTGGCGCGGCAGGCCACGCTTAGGTGTATATTGATAGTAACTCTGAATGCGAGTACTGGGCAATTAGACAACGCAGTACAGCAATGGTCGTCGACAATCTGTCGATGCAGTGTTCTGTTTGAGAGTTTCAGCCAGTACATGGCGAGCCTCGGATTCAGGAATCCACTGGTCAGCGAATCATCACTATGCCTAGACGTGGCATAAGCGTGTAGCACAAGAATACTACGTCAAACCTGCGACAGCCTACCGCATTGCTAAGGCTCGCAGCTATGTTGCTCGACCCCGAGGGGGTCGGAAAGCATACAAAGTCACAGAAGAGCGTAAAGAGGCAGTCATCAAGATCGTTGTTGTAATGTTGAGAATGGCAATAGGTCGCCTAGACGGGAGAACCCGAGCACGCGGTGGGCGTCGGTCAGTAAAAGGTGCCAACTTGTTGAATTCTAGCTCCACACTCCCGCTGCACTTATTACGCCACTTAATATACTCATATGCACTCCACATCGTCGAATAGCTGAGGAAACGTATCGACGCCACATTCTCAAACCTTCCTCTGACGAGCCAACATAGCTATCCATTCTGCGCCGTCGTTGGTAGACTCCAAGATGACACAGTAAAGAGTCGCTTACCTTATATTAGCAAGCATCTCGTGCGACACATATCTTGTGACACACATCGTGTCACACATATCTTGTGACACACATCGTGTCACACATATCCATATCATATCGATAGTGTCCATATCATAAGTTGCACTAGCCCCGTTGAGATCCCCAGCGTCCGCAGGGAAGATGGCTCGAACGCATCTCATTGCCCATGCTCCGCATATTCATATAATTCGGGAGTCTGCTGGCGAATAATCTACCCCAATCAGGAGGTCGCGGATGAAGCGATAACGCCTCAGCTATAGTTTGTACCATAAAGACAATGATCAGGGCTGATGACGCGCCGCGCGTCACGCGCGTCCAAAACACGTGAAACTGGCTAGTTTCCGCCAATTTTTGCAGGGCCATCGGCGCCACAGGGAGTTTACCGGCACTGTGGTTCCAAACTCTTCTGCTGATGGCCACTTTTTGTTCTATCACTGTAGTAGTGGCAAAATAACCGCCATCAGTGGATAATTGAAAACGAGAAAATAGCAATCCTGTGTGATAACGCGAATCACACGGGATGTTCAATCAACCTCTTCTTAGTTACAAGCACGCTTCCAGGATCGAGTTCTACATGTGAAATTTAATCCGGGGAGCGCTCTGGAAGCTCAGGAGAGGTCTATCGAACACACCGACTGTGTTTACAACGTCCGATAGAAAAACGTCGCACACCCTTTTCGACCCACCTCTCCCTGTGAAGTCAGGGTAGTTTGCCAGCTAGGTAGGCACATAGACTATATTAGTATCTAAATCAGACTGCCCAAGATTCTATCACAGAACGCCAAGCTTACCGCAGAAACAGCTCTTCCGTAAAATCACAGCTGAACAAATGTCTCTAGTGGAAGATTCATGCTCGAAGTGACATAAGTCATCCACCTCTATCCTCAGCAACTGCTTTTTCCACACCATAAGGCCTATCCAAATAGCCAAGACCCATCAGATCAACGATAGCACGGAGAAACAGCCCGTCAATAGTCAACCGTTCAAGCATACAAATTGGGAAGCGATCTTTAGACACATCGAATCACGTCAGCAATAATACCGAGGTAAACTATGCAGAACATCAAAAGGGCAACTCTGAACACCCCAACATCACAACAGTGCGATAGACAAGTGACACAACTGAACACAAGATGTGTGGGGAGAAAACATAAGTGAACTTTACTGCTAAGTAATAGTACAAATGATCTTATACGATCTACTGGTAATACAAGGTCGTCGAAAGTCTGTTGAAATGCGATGATATGGATTTGAGGCCATTCCTCAACACACTTTGAATGACATGAAAAAAGGTTACAGCAGAAACCGAGGTTTCATAGCCCTTGGGTGAGCTATGAATAGTATATGCTTGTCAACTGAATATCATTATCAAAAACTTCATCTCTCGCACGTTCAAGTCGGTTAGCAATACAAAGATGCTGACCACTGGTGTAGGCAACACAATCGCCCTCATACAGGAGCCTAGTTCGGAGATCCTCATCAATCTCGCAGTCCTCAGAAGTAATAGAATCGGCATTGCTACGTTGACAACAACGCTTCGTTGAACGAAAGGTACTTCCTGATGAATTCGACGACTCCGATCGTGGACGACGGTTTCTGATGAAAACGATATACCACGATAACAGAAACTCATCCTACCTAGGAGCCGGTGGCTCATGATCGCTATTGGATTCATCACAACTCAGCTGATCACAATCCTCAACTGCACGCCTTTTAATAGCGCCCAATAGATTCACACTTATTGGCTTCTCATCCATCTTGGGTACACAACAGATCAGGGCCTTGTCCAGCTGATCGGGCTCAACAGAGTCTTTGACGATTTCTACAGTACTTTTAATATCAGGTTCATCGACAGTTAAAATCATTACGAGACACAACGGTACAAAGAATGTGGCGTGAAACTCTACAAGGAGCTCTACACTATGCGTTGGGACATGTGATAATAACTGTTCATAAAAGCGCTACTTATTCCTCAACCTATGAAAGACACCCCCGTGACAAAACTCGTGGCAGGGTTTCCAATAGTTCTCTCCACCAACAGCGTCCCATGGCCAAGTTCTACACGTTGAATTCACTACTGCGATTGAATATCATGAAAAGTCAATTGAACACACCTCCGAGGGTAACGACATAAGACAATCACCGAGTTCCTAAGTGAATATTTCACATGAATCTATCCCAGGATGTGTTCCAACGCAAAATATCTTTTCGCATTCACGCACTGCAAAGAAACCTAACTTATATTTAAGGAACAACAACCGTGCATATCTCCGGTTCACGTCCCTCCATCGCTTCAAGGGCGCTCTTAGTGCCAGCTTGTACCTGAAAATGCACTCACCAGGAATTGAACCCGCGACCTCTCGGATAGTAACAAGCGATCTTACTATATAAACTGGTATTCCCAAGTCTTTAGCAACTTCCACTGCAGAAGCCAGCTTTGTCTCAATGCCACCCGTGACATCATGAGCAGGTACGCCTACAAGAAAATAGCTTTCGAACAAACATGTCAAAAAACCACCAAACCATCAATTCCTGATACCATTCCTTCTCCAACTCCCATACGTGGACGCACAAGACAGTACTCACTGCGCGCGCAATTCACGCGCGATCAGGTTGCATTAACCCGTACTTCCCGCTGAAATACTCACATGTTTTGATATTCGACTTCGCATCTCCCCTAGCCGAGATTCTCGGTATCAACTTAGCTCCCTCCTCATTAGGTGGTTTGTCATAAATACCCGCGACCTGCCATACCAAAATTCCATCAACACGCATCTAACATACATCTTACATCTGTCAAGAAGATTCCTCTCGAGGGTTTAAACGCCCGACACATCCAATAGAAAATCGTGTCGCCCGATAAAATAGTGCAAACCTGTTTTTCGTCAAGCACGCAGTCGCCGTGCATCACCGGGATGATCCCAGAGTTGAGCAAACCGCTCAAACCGTCATACAAAACCTGACTCACGCAATTTCGTGGCGCGCGAAATCTTCATCATCTGCCCACCTGTCCACACATAGTAAACCACGGCAGCTTCTTATCACTGGTCCAGAGGTATCCACAACTTCCTGAAAAATCACCAGCATCCCATGTCGCGCGCCACAAAATTATTTCTCACCCACTCCTACTGCTTTCAAGCCGTGATTAACCAGTACATCTACCACCATACTGTTTAAACGACCAACGCTCGCTCGAGTCGCCACAAATCCCTTCGATAGAAATCTCGACATCGCATAGGCGGCTGAAAATGACAGAAAACAATCAACTTCATTGTTTTCTTACTTGTGAAACTTTATTGAATATAGTTTCATGAGTTTCACGCGAAGTAGCGCTATACTACCAATTACGCGATATTCGCAATATGAAGTGAATTTAAAACGCTTCACAAAATCAAACCGGGCAAGTAACCCCATATCACGTGTTTCACGCGTTGTTCACTGCTCTCGTGCTTTTTCGTAAAGTGAAATGAGTTTTTCATATCACTGGAAAAAACTCCAATGCTTTTTCAGAAATCGGTTCTATTTGAATTCTACTCGGAATTTACTCGAACAAATCTCGACTTCGTAGAACTCACATGAAAGCAATAACATCTCACATTCCGAATCTTCTGAAAAATGCTCAATCCTATCAGTAGTTATAATTTTGCAGGAAAAATTACACCCGCCGAGAATCGTCCCAGAGACCTCATCATCGTACATCCCCCCTCGGGTTTTCCCGACAACTCCTTATTCCCCCTCGACACTGCATAGTCTTTTGCTTGGAAATGACCAAAACTGCCCGCACCGTGAATCAACTGAAACGAATTCACGCATATGCTCCTTACAAGTTGACAAACTTGTTTTTACTGCAACTTGAATATCACATCTACACTATTCAGTCGTCAACTAACGCAGTGGATAAATTGTCCAACACAAAAAAATGTGAGTCATTCGATTTTTCCTAATTTTATCAGTCGCTCCTGAGTCAATTTTCACACTCCTACTACTGATATTCACATTTGTGTATAACGTGGAGATTGTCCCTGCTTTACAAATAGTGACAGCTGTGGCATTTTAGCGCTACGCTAAGGCACGTATATATAAGGTTCTAGTTATATAAGTTGCATTCATAAACCTACTACTTCTATTCACTACGATTATACTGGGATTCGGCCTACTCAGCACTACATAATGCTTCATCACTGTACCAACATTGTTAAAGTTCCAGACTAAAACTCTACTACGCCGGAGTGAAATATTTCAGCTTTGAATTCACCCGAGAAAATCACGCGCTCCTTATACTGCCTGACACACTCCTCTAGTGTAGGCGACGAAATTTCCCAAGGAATTCTCAAAATATAACATCATATTTTTCCTCGCGATGCAAGGCTTTCCCCGTTACCATCGGTCTGGCGTTGGATCTCTCAATCGCTTCCACCAACTGCTCGGCTGTCTTACTCAGTACACCATCATCAATGGTCTCGAACTGACATGAATAAAAACACATCGTTGCAATGTACACAATACGCTTCCCCAAACATGACAAAAATACGGAGTAAATAAATATGAGGGGAAACGATGAATTTAAGAATGCAAAAAATGAAGACAAACGATCCCACGACATTCGAGATGAGAATTCTGGAACGCTCGCGAGAATTAACTTTTCGAGCGCGAAGACAACCCTTTAGTCTCAAATTTTGCTTGTAAATTTGGCGCGGGAAATGGGAGCTCATCGACGCGATTGAAGTTTAATATTCACACAAGTTATGCGTATTGATGATAACAAGCAAATTTTGAGGAAATCTTGGGAAAATTTTCTCACTTTTTTGTGCACTTCTACCCCAAATTTTGTGTAAATTTTGATAATATAGCATTCGAAACTCCTGCGCTCAGTTGAAGAAATAAAACTTATATTACAACACTCAGTCGTGGATAGTATTGGAAAATATGCACATGGTCGGTGACAATATGAAAAATTCTGAAAAAATTTTGGGAAATTCCTGTTGGTTTCTACGCTGATTCGTATATAAACTCCTGAGCACAGCAGCTGAGGAGCTCGAACATATATTCCTCCAATACTTGGGTAGGGACACGCACATTCTATGAACGATTACCTCATCTTTCTTGGTGCAAGCCGATCCGCCGATTTTTATCACGCAAGTACCTGAACATGGGAAGTCTATTATTACCAATTGTCTCTCACACAACGAAAATTCTAACCATAGTGTAGTAGGCTTTGACGTTTCTGCGAATTTCCGAGTTGAACTTGGGCGAAACAACTTCTGATTTTTTTCGTAAATTTTCCCTGTTTTACATTTGGTCCCCCTCCTCCTCCTCGAGTAAACCATCGCTGCTGCTATACCGCAAGCAACCGTCGTTGCGACTGCCACACAGCCGCCGATCACTTTACTCGATGATGACGACATGACAGAAACTTCAACTGATCATAGGAACGTGGGGAAGCCCACTTGCTCATCTTGAAAATCTTGAGTTTCCTCAACGGGTCTGGACACCTCGAGGAACCTGCTGCTCAACTGCACCGCTTACCCTGGAGTTAGCGAATGCCCCATTTCATGGTTCTGGTTGGTGCTCTACGGTATCTGTTTGAATGCTTGAGGTTAATGAGTGTCCCACTGGTGATTCATAATTCACCATGTTAGACGTGTATGATTTTGCTTTCCCACGAAAAAACCAATACACTTGTGTAAGGAAATTAACGTGGCACTTGTGATTATTATTTTCCCTCTAACGACTTGATGCTCATATATATTCAATCACTCCTCGTGTTAATTCATCATAACAATTCTTGTGTCATCGAAGTAGTTGTGTCACAATTCGACTCGTTTTTGAGAAGTAATGTTTTCCTTAATTTTCTGTTGTACTACTTCCGTCCTCACTTGCCCACCGTTTCACATATAGTCTCATAGTCTTTCCCACGGCATGTGCTCTACTCTACATTAGAGCCAACCCAGTTCATCTATATAATCTTCAACAGCTTAAGCTTAACCGATTCTCAATATTCTACCTAAGCTTAGCCACTTCTGCAGTGGTCGGCTTGTGTGTCACCCGGTCTCGGTGCCACAGCTGAAATCATTCGTTTATCAGTCACCGAGAATGTCATTAACCTCTGAAGATGTCATTTCTGAGGGAGAATTGTTTTCTATTGTAGTGGTTTTACATTCTTTTTATTTTTTTCTTGTTTCTTGTGATTTCCCCTGTTCTCTTAGTGTTATCTCTATTAGTACAATCAATAGCAATTGGAGTGGTCCCAAGCGTTCTTCTCGTAGTGTTGGCTCTATTACCAGTGATATAGACTCATGTCCTCAGCTGCCACCGATGCTCGAACTGCTGCTGCTGTTAACGCCGCTGCAGTGACTCGTGATTACACAATCAACCCTAGGGTTGAATATCAGACCATTACTGGTGTCGAGGTAAGCAATCGGGCCTAATCTGTATCTTACGACGTGCAACCTTGGATTCTTCCTCAGGGGCCTTTGGTCATTCTTGACAATGTCAAGTTCCCCCAGTACAACGAGATCGTCAACCTCACACTTGCTGATGGTTCCACAAGGCAAGGCCAGATTCTCGAAGTCAACGGTTCCAAGGCCGTTGTTCAAGTACGTTCCCAATCGTCTTTAGTTGTTGATAATCTCTCCGCAGGTTTTCGAGGGAACTAGTGGTGTTGATAACAAGAACTGTTACATCGAGCTCACTGGAGATACTCTGAAGATGCCCATGTCCGATGAGATCATGGGTCGTTCTTTCAACGGTTCCGGTCAGCCCATTGATAAGGGCCCTCAAGTCTTGGCTGAGGAGTACTTGCCTATCAATGGTTCCCCCATTAACCCCAAGTCTCGTCAGTACCCTAAGGAGATGATTCAGACCGGTCTGTCAGCGTTGGATACGATGAACTCAGTCGTCCGTGGTCAGAAGTTGCCTCTATTCTCTGCTGCTGGTCTTCCCCATAACGAGATCGCTGCCCAAGTGTGTCGCCAGGCTCAGCTTGTTCAGGGTAAGGACATTCACGATCACTCCAAGGAGAATTTCTCTATCATTTTCGGCGCTATGGGTGCCAACATGGAAACTGCCAGGTTTTTCCGTAATGATTTTGAGGAAAACGGCTCTATGGAAAACGTCGTTCTGTTCATGAACTTGGCCAACGACCCCACTATTGAGCGTATTGTTACTCCCCGGTTTGTGCTCACCGCTGCTGAGTACTTCGCCTACGAGCGCGAACAGCATGTGTTTGTCATCTTGACGGATATGTCCTCATACGCTGATGCTCTTCGTGAAGTCTCTGCCGCTCGTGAGGAGGTCCCCGGTCGTCGTGGTTACCCTGGTTACATGTACACCGATCTCGCCACTATCTACGAACGAGCTGGTCGTGTTGAAGGCCGTAACGGTTCTATCACTCAGTTCCCCATTCTGACCATGCCCAACGATGATATTACTCATCCTATCCCTGATCTCACTGGTTACATTACGGAGGGTCAGGTCTTCGTGGATCGGTCTCTACATAACAGGCAGGTGTACCCCCCGATTAACGTCTTGCCCTCATTGTCACGTTTGATGAAGTCTGGTATTGGTCGCGGTATGACTCGTGAGGACCACCCCAGTGTTTCCGATCAGCTCTACGCTAACTATGCTGTTGGTGTCGATACTCGTGCTATGAAGGCAGTCGTTGGTGAGGAAGCCCTCAGTGAGGAGGATCACTTGTACTTGGAGTTCCTTGATAAGTTCGAGTCCAAGTTCTTGAGCCAAGGCCCCTATGAGAACCGTGATATCTTCCAGTCGTTGGATATTGCATGGGAGCTTCTCCGTCTGTTCCCTGAGAGTATGCTCAAGAAGGTGCCACAGAAGGTGAAGGACAAATACTACCCCCGTGATCGTGAGGCTCAGAAGGCTACTCAGGAGGCTAAATAAGATAACATAGTGTTGTCACGATTCATACTCACTGCATTAGTAGTCTGACTGGCTCCTTTAGAGGGAGCTCACTGCGAAGGTGTAGTGATAAGTGTTTAAAATTGTGTAGATGATTATATCATTCAACAGCTGGCGGATCATCGTGTCCTTGTGCCCGTAGTTGATAAGTCATTAAAGAGTGTTTCTTTGCAATATTGATATTCGGAATGTGTGGTGTAACTCGTAGTCAATCACGGGATGGTTATTCTAGTATCTGTTCCTAGACTAGGAAGATTCTGATGGTAGAAAGGCATTTGGAGACTATAGTTGTTTTTGATGTTATTATGATCTTGGTAATGCAGCACGTGCTAGAAAGACTAGTCTGCCTCGTTTGAAATGTAACCTTCGGTCTTGGCGCAATGTTGGCGCACTCTTCGCGAGTGATAGAGAATATGTGAAGGTGTGGAATATTCATAGTATACGTACGTAGTCACAATGGATATGGGCTGAACTTTTCCGAAAGGTGAAAGTGATAGGGACAATCCTTGTGTCGCGTAAATGCCTTCTCTCAAGCTTTGCTTGCCTCTCCTGGTATCCTGTACCCGAGTTTGCCGCGTGTCTTGCCTGCCAACTCTTGCCACGTATGAACGCCATTGCCTATGACAACTTGTGATGCACGAAGATTGACTGCAGAATAATAGCACAGCTTTGAAGCTCACCCGTAGCAAAACTACGCTTCGCTTAACGCTAAGCTTAAGTGCTGAAAGTCGCTGGGTAAGGGTAAAGATCACCATCAGTCAGTTAGTCTGATTTCTTATTCACAAGTTATTGTAATCATGCTTTCTTCCAAGCTCACTTTGAACAACATCTCTGAGGAGGAGATCAAGGGCAAGAGAGTCCTCATGCGCGTTGACTTCAACGTCCCCATCAAGGAGGGTCGTGTTGCTGACAAGACCCGTATTGTCAAGACCATCCCCACCATCAAGCGCGTCATGGAAATGGGTGCCCAGAGCATCGTCCTTATGAGTCATTTGGGCAGGCCCCAAGGTCAGAGAAAGGAGGAGTTCTCTCTCGCCCCTGTTGTCCCTGTTCTCGCCGGTCTGTTGGAGCACGAGGTTACCTTCGTCCCCGACTGTGTTGGTGATGTCGCTATCAAGGCATGTGCCGCCCCTGCTCAGGGAAGTATCATTCTTCTCGAGAACCTCCGATTCCACATTGAGGAGGAGGGCAAGGGTGTCAATGCTAACGGCGAGAAGGTCAAGGCTGCTGCTGAGGATGTTGCCGCCTTCAGAGCTGATCTCACTAAGCTCGGTGACGTGTTCGTGAACGACGCCTTCGGAACTGCCCATCGGGCTCATTCCTCCATGGTGGGCGTTCAGCTGCCCGTCCGTGTTGCCGGTCTGTTGATGGCCAAGGAGCTCGAGTACTTCGGCAAGGCTCTTGAGAACCCCGCTCGTCCCGTTCTCAGCATTCTCGGTGGTGCCAAGGTCGCTGATAAGATCCAGCTCATCAACAACATGCTCGACAAGGTCGATCTTATGATTATTGGTGGTGGCATGGCCTTCACTTTCGCCAAGACCCTCTACGGTACCAGAATCGGTGGCTCCTTGTACGACGCTGAAGGTGCCAAGATCGTCCCTGAGTTGATGGAGAAGGCCAAGGCTAAGGGTGTTGAGATCCTTCTCCCCACTGATTGGCTCTGTGCTGATGCCTTCTCTAATGATGCTAACACTAAGGTGTGCACTCAAGAGGAGGGAATCGATGATAAGTGGATGGGTCTTGATGTCGGTCCGGAGTCCACCAAGCGCAGCATTGAAATGGTCAAGAAGGCCAAGACCATCGTTTGGAACGGTCCTCAGGGCGTGTTCGAGTTCCCCAAATTCGCCACTGGTTCTCTCGCCGTTTTGGATGCTGTTTGCGAGGCCACCAAGGAGGGTGCAATCTCTATCGTTGGAGGTGGTGATACTGCCGCTATGGTTGAGCAGGCCGGCAGGGCTTGTGAGATCTCTCATGTCAGCACTGGCGGCGGAGCCTCTCTTGAGTTGCTCGAGGGTAAGGAGCTTCCTGGTGTTGTTGCTCTTAGCGGTAAGAACTAAGTCTCTATTGTTTACGATATAGCAGTAGCACAGAAGTTGTCGCGGATTGCGACTCTGTTACTTCCACATACAGTTTTTTGGTGAAATGCCGTTCAAAGTGTAATACGTATTGAGTTGTTGGAGTGATTCGGGTAATGTACTCACCAAATATTGGGGCAGCTATGCCACTTGAATGTGTGCCTCAATACAGTCACTTATACGACAATATGAGGGCTACCTTCGTTAGCCCTCCAAAGTAATTCCGATTTCCACGAAATGCAGAAATTATTTGTGGTCTAAATGCCATAATTAGACCATCTCTGAGTGGCATAGCTGCCCCGTTCTGATGATAAAGCGCTTGTACTGAGGCATGTCGTTGGGTTGAATAGCTGTTCCGTCGAGATAAATTGATTATCCTGAGGTAAATCTTCGAGTGGCATAACTGCCCCACCCACAGAAATCTATCATACTCGGGCGCACCCACTAGTAAATAGCCTTTCACCCTGAGTCGTAAAGACAGCTAAATTGAGGCACTTTCGGTAACGCAAAATCATCGGGGTGAATAAAAACACTGTCGCATTAGGGCTCCATCGACCCGAAGCCAATAGGAGCCCGTACGAACGGGCAGTAAACTCAATGTGTCTGATGAGTACACGAGTTAAAGCAAAGCTATCACTATATATGCACTGAGTGCGGGGAAAGCAACATCCCGCTTGATCTTTCCGGTAGGCATGCCGCTGAGAGGTACCCATCTCCACCCTAGGAGACATACTCCGTACTAACGGAGACGACTGAGCAGTACATGCCTCAATGATGCTCCGGTCAACTGTAGAAAATGCGGGGAAATATCAACCTACTACTCCGACTTCTCGTGGAAACCGACAAGAGTAGGGGATAGAAAAGTAATATTGTGTCAGTGAGAAAGCAACCATTCCGTTGTTAATCAAACCACAGAGTGATGATGAAGTCAAACGCATAAGAGTAACCAGTCTAGTGTTCACGAACCGCTATACGCTCGTTAGAAACACTGTAATACATTGTGATAACGGCAGCGGGGCGAGACTCGCTGGGAGATATCTATGATAATTCGCGGTCCTACAGGAGAACAGTTATAATGACGACGGCCGGTCCGTCTAGAATGACAAAATATACAGGGAAAAGAGACTAAGTCAACGATAGTAGTATATGCTTGGTGTCGAGGAGATAGTAATAGGCATTGTCGAATGGCGTAGCTCCGGTGATGCTTGGGGCTTCTCAGAAAACTCGGGCAAATTGGACACTTCGAACTTGTTCCGACACAGCGGGCAAGAGGTGCCTCGTAATCGTTGAGACCTTACAGTGAGCCACTCCTCGAGGCACTCGCGGTGGAAGGAGTGACCACAACACAAGACGAAATCGGGACCTTGTTCTAGACAGATACAACAGGGCTCGAGAGACACGGCTTCGAGTGAGGACTCGCGGCAAGGCCTGCCGTTCTGTCCGAGCAACATATCGATCTTACGGCCGACGCTCATTTCGCTCTTAGTCTCATGACGAACCTTCTCGGAGGGACGAGCTGTTGTTCTGGTGTGGAAGAAAAGCATGACGAGTTGAGTAGTAGTGAGTAATGTGAATGCTACAACAACGGGAATCGATATTGATCGAAGCGTAGCTAGTGAACAACACACATGTTCAATAATAACGCGGGAGAGAACGAGTATTGTTGG